CAACACAGAGAAGACAAGTAGTGATTTTAAAGCAACTTACTAGGCTGATGGACAGTGACTGTGAAGGGGTATGTGGGGGGCGGGGGGACTTGGTGAAGGGGGGAGCCAGTAAACATAATGTTCTTCATGTAATTATAGATTAATGATACCAAAATTTAAAAAAAAATCGTGCTAGCAAAAGAAACAAAGTCAAAAAAAGAGTATATGTTGCATAATTCAATTTAATGAAGATTCTAGAACAAAGAAAATAATCTAGAGTTATAGAAAGCAGGTCAGTGATTGCATGGAGATGAGTGTAGGAGGGATTGATAGCAAAGGGGCACAAGGAAATTTGGCAATGCCTGAGGTGTCTTGATTATGGTGATTATGTCATGGATGTATATATATATATACATCAAATCAGATCAAACATATACTTCAAATATATGCAGTTTGTTGTCCTTCAACAACACTTTGAGTTGTAAACTAACAATTTTGCACCAAAACTAGAGTCCTAAAAAACATAAAGATAAATATCCTTTCAGCCAGTCTCTCCAGGCATTAGTGTATTAGTGTTTTCTTTTTGTAGACACCCATTCACACTACAAAAACAAAGTATTAAGCCAGGAAATGATAAGGACAGATCAAACACAGCAGCAGACATTTATCAAATAAACACAAGCAGTAAGTTGATAAACAAACTGGGTGAAATATCCACCCTCAAAAGAAATCAGTAGCCTTTATCATATTAAATTATTCAAAGGTTGTAATTTAAAACAACTCATTTGTAGCATGGTTACATTGAAACTGATAATGTCCCTGACCAACATATGAACCATGCCCTCCAATCCTTCAGAAAATGTAAGTATTAATGACCACATATGCAAATGCAATCACGTAGTAGCTACCTCCAAGACACTCATGTGCTTACCATGAATCAGTTGTTTCCAAACATGTTTATAATAATTGTTCTTGATATTTTAATTATGTACTTTAATAACATTATATAAAGAAATTAGAGAAAGATTGTGTTTATGAAAGCAAAGATGAATGTTCTAGAAATGTTTATTCAAGGATACACATTTCAGTAGTTGGGAGCCCATTATAAAGACTGGAAACAAACAAACAGATTTTACACTAAGACTGCCTAAATTCTCATCCCAATAAGAAAATGTAGCCAAGAAATTAGGAAAATGAGTTATTGGCATGGTTAATATTAAGAAAGAATAAGGAGAACTTTAATTATGGAGAACATGTCCTGGCCCTGTATGGAAACATAGGTGAAAACTGTTATGGTTGTAAGTAATTACAGATTGTTTAAGGCATTTATGTAATTTCATATGATTTAAAATAACTTTGTCAATGATTGATCAATTAGCTATCTTAAATTAGTTGGCATGTGATCCTCTAACTATAACCTTTGGCCAAGGAATCTCATATCTGAGACACAACCATCATCCAATGTGAAAAAACCTCCATAAATATTGATGTGTACCAAGAGTGGTAACTCCAGAAACAAAAAATGAAGAACAATCTTAATATACAATATATTAATATTGTTACTTAATATATAATTAATATATAGTAATATTCATAATATGTGAAAATAAACTAAAATTTAAAAGGTACATTCTTTTATTTTAGGGAATAAAAATATAAAATAAAATTGTATTAGCCTTATGAAACAGAGTATGTCTCTTAAAAAGCTTTTATTGTAAAATTTAGATTCACAAGAGTTCTAAAGATTGTTCAGGCAGAGAGTCCTGCATGCCCCTTACCCAGTTATGCCCAATCTACATGTTACATAATTATAGCATATCATCAACCACATGAAAATGGCATTGGCACAATGCATGTGTATAGCTGTGTCCTTTTATCACACATGTGGATTTCTGTAACCACCACTACAATCAAGATACAGAACTGGACCATCACCAACAAACATGCTGCCTCACCTGCTCCCTTTTTATATCATAACCACCATTACCACTCCTGCTGCCCATCACTAAATGCTGACAACCACTGACATGTTTTCAACCTCTGCGATTTTGTGATTTCCAGAATGTGGTATAAATAGATTCATATAGTATGAGACTGGCATTCTTCATTCATCATAACATCCTTGAGATTCATTAAGTTGCCGCATGTATCAGTAGTTTGGCAAAAGAACAAGTTTAAAACATAAATATAGTTCCTGGAATTTAAAAACACAATTGTAATATGGAAATAAAATTTATTTTCTTCACTTGGTATTACAAGTAAAAATGAAGTCCAATACTATGTTATTTCAATCTGAGTCCTGCCCATAATGGAAAATTCATCAGTACCATCTACTTGCCAAATATGCGCCTTGCTTCCTCTTGATAGGCAGGCTTGTATTTCTGACCCTGCACTTTCTTCCTTGTGCCCCTTTAGCTCTAACCTCTCTTCTGCCACTTCCTCTTCACTGTTACCAGAAACCACTTTCACCTATTCTGATTTTCAACCAATTTCTTAATGGACTATATACTCTTTGTTAACTCTTCTTAACCCAAAATGAAGTTACAAATCGACATATATTGGTTAAAAGAATGAATTAATGAGTGCTGGAAAAGCAGAAGCAAGGGGAAATGAGGCAAAATAAGAAAAACTCAAGAGATAACAGGTAAAATGAAAAACAGGGCCAAAAATGTTTTCTTAAAGGAGTGAAGAAATATATAATATCTAAATTTTAAAAAGGGTGATGTGGGAAGACATGATTCAAACTATTGATGAACTGACCACTAGAGAAAAAGAATGACTTACCTTTTTGTAAAACAAGGCGAAAATGAGGGCACTGAAATGGAATGGTATTTGGAGGTGATGAGAAGTTTCATTTGAAAAGGTTACTTTTGTCTCTAGGTCTCAGGCCTTGACCCACATGTTTCTGGCCTTGGAGGGGGAGACTCTAGACCAGTATTTCTGAGATGTTGCTGCTTCAGTAAACAGAGGGGCTGTTATATGCAATGATGGCTTCCCTGTGCCTGCTCAGCCCCCACTCACCTGGGTAAGGGTGTCTTGTCTCATCCTTCAAGGCCATCCAGGGCTCTTTCCCCTTCTCCAGTAAAGAAAACACATCTGGCTGATAAATGCAAAACCCTGATCAGAAGATAATAGGAAATGACCATGCGGTAAGGGCTCCAAAATTCGCATCTAGTCCCTTAGTTATTAAGGAAGAAAGACAGTGATAGGAAGTGCAAGAAAAAGACACAAAGGATTTCTAAAGGATGGCGAAGATGAAGATTCCCAATGACGGTGACTATTGACAGATTTACAAAGCACAAAACATTTTCCCAGAAAGAAGTCAGAAATTCCCCTAAATGCTTGAAAGGCAATCTAAAAATTCACAATGTAAAAAGCAGGAATTTCTAGAATCAAATTCTGCATCTTACCCAGGGAGACTAGGTTGCTGTAGTTCTCCAACATCACATCTCTGTACAAATCTCTCTCTTTCAAATCCAGGTAGTCCCACTCCTCCTGGGAGAGGTCTACAGCTACATCCCTGAACATCACCAGCTGCTGTAATGACAAAGCCCAAGCATCAATGGTGAATTAAAGTAAATCTCTTGGATGGGGAAAAGATGGAACAGGGCACTGAAGTTAAAGTCGTATACACACTGAGTGAAAAACTGGGGTTGGTTGCCTATGGTATGGGGATAAATGACCTTGGAATTAGTGTGACTAAAGCCAAGGGCCTACATACTCTTAAAACCTTCTGTTGCTCAGTCACTACATCCTATGACCTTCCAGTAACAAACACCAATAAAAGAGGATGGCGGCCCAGAATAATCGACATTGTATGACTTCTTAGTTGGTAGCACTAAGAGGCTACACCAGCCTGGAATGACTAACTCCAGATTTATTATGTAAGAAAAATTTTTCTTATGCTACTTGAGTTAAATTTTCTATTAGTTGAAGTTCTAAAGATTTTTAAGAGATACACTCCCTAACTGAATACTGTTTTCTGTGAATGCCCATTTCCTGTGGAGAATGTGTAAAATTTCTAGGCTCTCATCTAAATACCTGACAATCAACATGTCTTCTTAATAATATTGATCCCTCACTGACTTCCTGGAAAGACCCCAGATCTCTATGAATTTATCCTCCCATCATATCCCTTTATCTAAAAGCAGGACAAGTGTCACATACTAAAATGTATACTAACACCAACTCCCATCTTTCCTCATTGAAACACCCCTATTCTGCAGAGTAAATACAAGCTTTCATGTAATGTGTCTCTTTTAGTCACTCAGTTCCACATTGTTAAGCCATAGTCTGGAAAAGCAAGTACCTACTCTTTCCTTTAAGGGAATATATTTCTCTTCCATCAGTGTTCTGTTGAAGTATTAGGACACAGGAGGTACTGAACGCCGCGTTGGAGAAAAGAGGGACACTTAGGCAAGGCCCTGGACTGTTTCACAATGATCACTTATCAGAATGGGTAGTGACTCAGGTAAGCAGTTTGAGGTTAAGGAATAAAAATATTCACATGATGTAACATAAATGGTAATATTTTGGAGAAAAGCAATTCCAACTCACACTGGCCATGACTTAAAATTTCAGGAGTCAACCAATCTTCTTCCAGATTCCTTTCTGTAGAAACAGTCCTGAGAAATCAGAGGTAGAGGGAAAGAATCATGACGTGAGGTTTGCTTCAGAGCTTACAAATGGACTATGAATGCCATTTTTTTCCTTGAAGGAAGGTCAGAGAGAGTCTGTAGAAATCCTGGTCCTGTCCAAGTCCCAAGAGACTCAACTATAGCAGGATAGAGTTTCAGTCTGTATCACTTATGCCAAATCATGACATGGATCAAGATATTCAGGATATGAGCTAAGACCACCCTGAGTTGTCCTGAATATTTTCATCATTAAAAGAAACCCTGTGTCCTTTAGGCTCTCACTCCCTGTCCTCTCAACTCTTCATTCCCTTCCTCCCCCTCTTCCCTAGCCCTAAGTAACCACTAATCCACTTGGTCTCTACAGATCTCCACATTCTGGACTTTCATATGAATGGACTTATTGTGACTGGTTTTTTTTAATTGAGCATAATGTTTTCAAGGTTCATCCAAGCTGTAGCATCTATCAGTGTTTCATTCTTTTCTATGGTTGAATAATATCCCACTGGATGGACAGACCACATTTTGTCTACCCATTCATTGTGTTAATGGATATTTGGACTGTTTCCTTAACTTCATTTTTGGATCGTTCACTGCAAATATATAAAACACAATTGATTTTTTAAAATTATTATCAAATGTACATCATAGTGGTCCTACAGTCTCCCTCCCTCTGCCCCCGCCCATCCCTCTCCCCCTTGGTAACCACTAGTCACTTCACAGTGACTATGAGGTTAATGCTGTTTGTTCCTTCAGTTTTGCTTTGTTTTTATATTCCACAAATGAGTGAAGGTCATTTGGTATTTGTCTTTCTACACCTGGCCTATGGCACTGAGCATAATACCCTCTAGTTCTATTCATGTTGTTGCAAATGGCAGGATTTGTTTTCTTTTTATGGCTGAATAATATTCCATTGTGTATATGTACAACATTTTCTTTACCCATTGAAATACTGATGGACACTTAGGTTGCTCCCATATTTTGGCTAAAAACAAAATTGATTTTTACCTATTGATCTTGTATCCTGAAACCTTGGTAACCTCATTTATTAGTCCTAATAGTTTTTGTATGTGTGGGTTCCTTAGGATTTTGTATATTAAAAAAATCACATCATCTACAAATAGAGATGGCATTACTTCTTTTCCAACATGGACGCTGTTTATTTCTTTTTTTTCAGCTAATACATCTAGTGCAATACTGAACACAAGTGACAAAAGCAGATATTCTTGCCTTGCTCCTGACCAAAGGGGAAAACCATTCAGGCATTCACCATTAAATATGTTAGCTGTCATATTCTTGTAGATGCACTATATCATCTTCTATACATTAAGGAAATTCCCTTTTATTCCCAGTTTATAGAGTATTTTTACAATGAAAGGATACTTGCTTTTGTTAAATGTTTTTTCTGTGTCTATTAAAATAATCATGTGATTTTAATTTTTTTATTTTATTGATATAATTTAATATTTTTGATTTATTGATTTTTGGATGTTCAGACAATCTTGCATTTCTGGCATATGTTTCACTTGGGCATGTTGTATAATTTATTTTATATGTTGCTGGATTTGGTTTGCTAGTATTTTGTTAAGGATTTTTGTACTCATATTCTTATGAGATATGCTTTCTCTAGTTTGGGTATCAGGGTAATAATGGTCTCATCAAATGAGTTGGGAGCTTGGCTATTCTTTAATTGTAGGAGAGAAGACTCAGCGGAACTCAGAGCTGATAGTAAGAGTCTTTCTGAATCAGGTTAGGTTTTGAACAACAAAGAAAGCCTGGATATTCAGAGGGCTCATATTTTAAAGAAATTGTCTTCTACTGCAGTAACACAGGAACTCTTGAGCAGAAGACCCTAGAAAACTACCCGTAATCCAGTCTCCTTCTCACAGCAAAGCACCATTGACAGCTATTCTAGGATAATCTATCATAGTCCCCCCCAAATAACAAAATTAGAAACACTGTGTTCAAAGACAAAAGTTTGAAAAGAGTGTCAAAATTCCCCTATGTATAATGAAAACTCACTAAAAAACATCAGATAAGATTAAAATTACCCAACATTCCAATATAAATAAAATATAATTTATGATACAATCACAGCTCTGAAGCAGAAGTACAGGCACAAACAGTATAAGGATCTCAGGAAAGGGGGGGAAGTGGTGGACAGACTCTATATGACAGTAGAATTCAAGAATGAAAGAGAATATAGGCAAAACCACTTTAGAAATGAGGAATAAACTATAAGGAGTACAAGGTATGACAAACACCACAGAAAGTACATCACGGACAAAGAGTACAGAAATTAGTGAAGAGAACAAAATGAAACAAATGACGAATAATGGAAGAAAAAGGAGAAAGTCAGAGATGATTCAATGTGCAGCTAAGCAGAGCCCCTGAAGATGAAATCCAATCAAGGAAGAGACTATTAAAATCTATGTTTTAGCATCAAGAATAATTTCCTGAAATAAACCATGAATGTATTTAACCAAAAGACACACCATATGACAGGGGGAAATGACCCAGAATTGTCCATATCAGAACATTTCTTAATAATTATTAGACTAAACTAAAACCCATATACAAATATCAAATCACCTATAAGAAAAAGGAAATTCATTTATCAATACTTCTCCACTGCTAAATTCAGTGCTCCAAAAAGTGATTGCCCCTTCAATAAACTCATGTGAAAATAAATGGGGGAGTCAGATTTTATATGTAACCAAGATGCCCTTGAAATATAAAGGATATAAAGAGTTAGATGGTGCAAGAACCTTGAGAATATTGATCACTAAATGCTTTTGAACTACTACAGGACATATTTCAGGTAGCAAAGAGACAATACAGAAAGTTTCAGGAAAAGCAGTGATGCTGAACATATTTAAAGGCAAGTCTAAATTTTAAAAAGTAGTATGGAGATTATGGTAGCCAGCATGCTACATGGCCCCCAAAGGGACCCAGTACTTGGTATTATTGTTTAGATCCTGCCTCTGATCTGAATAGAGCTGACTTGTGTACATGGTGGAGTTTGAGGATAGGTGCTGAAAGACACTGTGGCTCCTACCTAATGCTCTCTTGCTGGCCCTTTGCTCTGGGGAAGGCCAAATAACATGTCATGAAGACACTCATGCAGAGATACGGAGGCCCACATGGACAGGAACTGAGGTCTATTGCCAGTAGCCATGTGCGAAAATCATCCTGGAAGGTGATCCTCCAGTTTTCAGATGGCTGTAGCCCTGACCAAGAGTTTGGCTGCAACTTCATGAGACCCTGAACCAGAACCTCCTTGCTTAAGCCACTCCTGGATTCCATATTCCACAAAAATGATGTAGGATAATAAATACTTATTGTTGTTTTAGAGTAATATGTTTTATAGACATAAGTAACTAATATACAAATAAAGGTTACAGAATGGAAAGTAGAAAAGATAGCTGACTGCTTCATTTGTAATAACTGCGAGAGAAAGGATGCCATTTAAGGCTGAAAAGTCATGGGTAGAAATTTAGAAGTATATGAGAATAGAAACATAAAGCCAGAGAGAGTAAATATATCAATTTCATTTCAATATACAAGCAAAAATTAGGAAATTACAAATTAGATTAAAAATGATAGCATTTACAATAGCAACAAAAAAATTGAAATACCTATAAATAAATTTGACAAAACATGCACATGGCCTCTACATTGACTACTACAAATAACACAAAGAAGTTAAGAAAGACCTAAATAAATGGAGGAACTTATCACATTTATGGGATGAAAGGCTGATTATTTTCAAGATGTCAGTTTATCCCCAATAACGGTATAGAAAGATTAAAAAGTAAAAGGATAGTAGGAGATATGCCATGCAAATTACAACCAAAAGAAAGTTTAAGTGGAGCTGAGCTTCCTGCGTAGTCGTGGAAAGCTGGCCAGGCCTGGAAAGGCAGTAGGTAGTTTTCTGGGAACAGGGAAGACCTTCAATTACAGTTTGTGATATCTTTAAGAAGCTTTGCATCCTAAAAACAAAGCAAGATGAATAGGATGTATTATAAAGAGGAAAGGAAACTAAAGTTTTCAGAAAAAAAAAATCTTTTTCAATGTACCACAAGCTCATGGTCCAAATTAAAACAAGAAAACCTAAATTTTGGTAATATTGGATTGGATTATAAGAAGGACATTGCATGTGTAAGAAGTTGAAAATCTTAAAGACATAATGTGGATGGCAAATATATTTCTTCATCCCCTGGGAGAAAACAATGGCAATCAGAAATTTTCAGTGAAAATTAAACAAACAAACAAACTATGGGAAAAGCATCCTTCTAGTACCAAACCATAAAATCTAAGATCTTAGAGCCAAAGACAAGGAAATCCAGAGCTTGGCTGTTTCGTGAATATTTAATGTTTTGATTATTTAAATAATCAAAATAATTAATGTGAAAAAAGAAAAAGCTCAAGTGGCTATAGTAATATGGGCCAAGGCAGATTTAGAGCAAAGACAATTACCTGGGAGAAAATATGGTCTCTTCAATAAACGGTGTTAGGTCAATTGAATATCTACATGGGAAAAATGAATCTTGATCTTTCCTCACAACATATATAAAAATTCCAGAAGATTTGTATATCTAAATATAAGAGATAATAAATCTAGAAGAAAATACAATATTTTCTAATGCTTTTGGGATAGGCAAATATTTCTTAAACAGGGTACAGAGAATACAAACCACATGGGAAAAATAATAAGACTACATTTTAAAAAGCAATTTCTGTTCATTAGAAAATGTAAACCATGGACTGGGAGATGATATTTGCAATATACATTGCTGACAAAGGACACACATCCAAACTAAACAGAGAACTAAAAATCGACAATAAAAAGATGGACAAGCTCCCAAAAATTTGAACAGATACTCCGCAAAGGAAGGGCAAAGGACTTGAAAAGGCACTTCTCAAAGAAAGATATCCAAATCGTCAACAGATTCTAAAAACAAAGCATTCCATTTCGTTAGTCATAAATT